TTTGCGCACGCTAGATCGGTGCGAAATAAACTCTTGACTTAAGTGGCTTTAACCACACTTGTTACATAATATGCTATTAAGTACTGGTAACCAGATAGTACTTTTGATCAAAAAATGTTTTTTGGGATTACCAGGAAAACGACAGGTGTCCTTGAAGGTATATGACAATTCAGTTGGGTCCGCAAACCAAGGCAGTCCACTAATAAGGCACATAGTTTTCGTGAAAACTGAAATGAAAACTATCTTTTATTTATATTAGATCACTCTGTGGCAGTCGACTATTCCGATAGAAAACTATTTAAAAGTGAAAAAAATTTAAAAACTTTCTTCGCTCGTTTTTAATTTGAGTGATGTACTTGGTAAATTTCAGCTGAGATATTTTGAATAATTTTAAAGTGTTTTCGCTTTGTAAATTTTTATAATTACTCACTATGAAACCCAGCATTTTAAGTGCATCTTTACCGGTTTCATCAATGTGGTTTCTAAAGGAGAGTTTTGTGTCAAACGTTTACACCAAAGCCTTTAAAAGTGTCACACCTGCTTAATAATTTATCCGAAAATGACGTTAATAAAAAACAAGAAGATCCCAGCCATAAGGGGTGAGTGGCCGAGTTCTCTACGTACTGTGTGCTGTTAAGATACTATTTTGTGAATACCACAGAGTTATCGCAGAATCCAAGCATTCTTAATTTAGAAAGCAGTACAGTGTCATCCATAGCCTTAGTAGCAAATTCTGTAAAGCGAGCTAAGTTGTGGTGCTTTGACCTTTAAAGAAACCTTGTTCTTTGTGCGCTCTCGCAGCGATATCTCGAAAGCTCTGGCAAAGGTGATATTAAGCTACTATCTTGATTCGGGTTTAAAGGCCGTCGTCGGTTGGACTCACACTCATTCTACGTCCAACATCGGAGATGGAAGGACCTCTGAAGAAGCTCGCCACTCGTGCTAGCGAAATGTTAGGAAGTAATTCCAACCGACGACGGCCTTTAAACCCGAATCAAGATAATAGCTTATCAACGGGCCGCGAAAGCCTTAACCAATTTATCAAAGGTGATATTATTCGCATAATCCTATAATTAGAGATGTCAGCTGCTTTTCTCTTCTGGTCTTTTTCCAGACTTCTGAGAAAGTGTTTGTAACTAGGGCTAAGATCAAAACACTGGGCATGGGTTTGACCAAAGCATGGTAGTGGTCTTAAAATAGAATCATCAGTTAAATAATCTGTTGTTGTTATAACCTCCAAAAATTTAGCAAAAGCATTAACAACCTCACCAGGACTGATGAAACACCAGAAGGCACTAGAATCCTGTTTTATATTTTCGGCTTTGAAGATGTGATGATGTGATTTATTGTACTTGTATTTTTTAAATGATCTGATGCTGACGCTTAATTGCTTTAATTATTTCTGGTGTGAACCATATCGGAAATGATCTATTATAGATAGTCGTCGATGACAGTACTGTTGCGGCAAAGCAATTGTTTAGAGGCTTGATTTCGAAACATGTTAGTTGCTATCACGTCAAGTAATGAGAGAGTTGCCCTAATGGAGTCGAAGAACTGAACAACCTAAAATTCGACCAACCAAGTAAAACGCGAGGCATCAGGGTCCCATTTGCAACGTTCATAAATTGGCGAAGATGGTAGTCGGAACGGCTCTCATTTTTTAAGGAATTCATTTTCTAAAAGCCGTTAGCGGCGTTCATCTCGACCTGTCTTCAGCTTGTTATTTTTCGTGCAACCGTCTTCCTCCCGCTCAAATATCCCTCAACAAATTATCAGGCATCACTCATCTCCTGCTACGCCTTTGCTTTAAAAGGGAAAATATTTGCATTTTAAAATTGACAGCAAAGGCGCATATATATATCACCTTTTTTTATATATCATCGGGAGCTTTTCGAAGCGATCAGCTTTAAAAGAACAAGCGATGTTCGATGTTAACATTATGAATGAAATGAAACTATATTAAATGTTCGGAGAAACTTCTCTGGAATATGGCGGCCTTGCATGTAATGCGCTATGAATTATAGAGCAGCAGACTTTAATTTTGCGGGTAAGGTGGTGAAACCGCGGTTGCGCGTGTGGGTGCTTATGAACGTTTTAATGCGTGGTGAATACTCGACTGTTGTTAGTTTTGGGGCTATATATGACAATGTAGTCCCCGTGCCATGCCTACATTTCATTGCGTAATTTGTTTGTTTGTTTAATTGTATATGCTGGTTCAAAAAAACATATATTAATTTAAAATAATCGTGTGAATTGGAATTTTGAATATGTTGAATAATTTTGTTGTTGTTGTTGCCGAATCTAAACGGAGTTTTGTTGGAAGGTTAAATTGACGAAAATGAATTCAGGTTGTCTTTTAAAATAACTTATACTTTTTTTTTTCTTTCCTATCACTTTTTATTGTTTAATATAAGTAAAGTGTGTTTCAAAAAAAAACATTAATTAAGTTCCGGTAACTTTTGAATTGGCCACGTAGATAGGTATGCTTATTCCGAATCTATACAAAAAACAGTTATTAGTTTTTCGTTACATTGTCAGATAAAAATAACACAAGAGCACCTTAAAATGAAAAACAAAAACATTTAATTTTTGTTAGTTTCCGTTTAGGCCATCTTTAATTTCACAATAAAGTGGCATGCTATTGCGCAAACCTCATCCCTATATCGTTAAAGATATGTATTATTTACTTTAGCAGAATATTTTCATACATTCCAATTCCAATCAGTAAATCATATTATCTAAGTTAATTAAAGATTGGTTGTACATTTTCTCATTTAATTATTAACTAAAGTATATTTAATTAATTGGTAAATACCGGCCCTTATATTTAATATTTTTTATTTTGTGAGTGTTATATGTTGTTCAATGCAAATTTATTTTTTAAGTCAATGTTTGGTTCAGTAAAGTAGCTTTTAAGTAGCTGTCATACATGATTTATTTAAAAGTGTTTATTTAAAAGTTGTAACAATACTTTTTAAAAATTACAAAAGCAATAAACTTAAGCAGCCAATAAGTAGGACCTACAATAATCTAAAAGAGGTTAAGTTGATCTTTTTGAATAATACGCAGCCAATGCAAACATAATGATATTAACCATTACAAACTAAGAATTTATCAGAATGCAAGGAAATCATAAGGCTTCACACATTACATTTACATTACACACATTACATTACATTTTTTTTTTGCAGAAGGGAGTTCGAGAAAAATTGAATTTTATACGCTCGCAGGCCAAAACAGAAAAATATTGAATATAAACAGAAGTTGCGGCTATAAAAGATTTATGTGGCTCGAAATTCGATGCAAAAGACAAAGAACGAGATCGTAAATTGAGTCGTGTAGAGGCCGTAAACTTTTGCTACATGTTGCGACAGTAAAATGACTATAAAAATTCGTGGGAGCGCATTTATATCCATTTTTGCCGCCTTATTCCAAATGACTTACTTTATTGGACAAGGAACGCATCGAAAATGAAAAATTTCCCCGATTTTCTTTCACAATGTAGGCAAGAGACTTTGACGGGGTTCTATACCGCCATGTATCAGAAGACGGATAGTTTCTAATGTATTGGTATAAGCAAGTAACGTTTAAGTAATTTTTTTCTGAAAACAAAATTAAATTATAATTGAAAAAGCTCAAATCCTTACTAGGTTTATTGTAAAAATGCTAAATGCACGAACAATGACCCGTATTATCTTATTGACGGTGGAACAGATCTAACATTGTAATGCCGATCCATTCTCTGAGGACGAACTTTCAAGTTTAATTTTAAGTTACATGGTACTAGGCACAGATTTAAGAAAAAAAGTTTCATATAAAAGTTGCAGGATACAGCTGAATTCCTTTTCCGTGTTATGTTTACGAATACAGGACGATAAAAAAGAAGTTTAATCTGTATCTTATACCCTTATGTGAAACTTCTTTTATCGCTGATATTTAAGACAGAAAATGCCAAAAACTAAAATTTCACTTAGTAGGTCACGATTCTCCATTTTTTCCAATAGTGCTTTTATTAATTTTTACAAAACTTCTGGATTCCTACTGCGTCGGTTTTTTGCTGAGTCAAACTTGCTGACGTTTCGCCGATCATCCTGTTGGCTTCTTCAGAGCTTGACTGAAACTGGCTCGCATTTAACTCCTGCTTATATATTGTTTGAGGGGGGCGGAGCTAAATGAGGGGCATAAACACCGTCTCGGATCACTGATTCTCATTTTGGTGACAGATAGTCCTGAGTTTTCGTGATTGTGTTCGGTAACAGCTGATGTTCGTGTTCTTTGACCCTAGTTGATATTTTTCGTCCGGTTTCTCCAATGTATTCTTTGCCGCATATGCATGGAATGCTATCAAATCCTGGCATCTCAAATGGAATTTTATCTTTGACGGATCGAAGATGTTGAGAGATTTTTGGAATAGTGATAAATCTGGTTTTGACGTTTTTTCTTTTATTATTTGTTGTGACGTCTTTATCCGTCCATTTCGACAGAAACGCATTTGTTAAACTGTTTAATATTTAATATCTACTATATTACAAATATCAATAATTATGAATATAAATAAAAAACATACCAAGACGTGGATAACTACATTATTTATTTATTTAATTATTGTATTTGGCCAAATTTGAAAGTGACTAACATTCATTTCCACACATAGTCGATCGAACTTGATTAATCCGCTTGGAATGATTTGTATTTATATTATTGATCATCAGCATATCTCAAATTGTTTATTATTTCTCCATTGACACTTAACATAGTCTGTGTTTGTTGTGAGGACATATGGTTGCTATCAGTTTGGTTAGTTTTGGTGTGTGTATAAGTGTGTATGCTGTGCATACTGCTGTAAACGTCCGAATTTATATTTCTTGCTTTTTGTTTTAAAAGATGTATACCGAAAAGTGCTTCCATTGTTCCAAGATAATTTCTGAGACCAAATTTCCGCACATGACTCATGACTTCCCTTGCGTATGATGAATATGTATAATGAATAAAAATTTTAGGTGGCTTGCCGTACAAAGTGTATCCGGGCCACGACGGGGTACTCACCGAAAAAAGGAAACAGAGAAGAATCAGAACGACCTTCACCTCCGCCCAGTTAAAAGAATTGGAACGCGCTTTCCAAGAAACCCATTACCCTGATATTTACACGAGAGAAGAGATCGCAATGAAAATAGATCTAACGGAAGCAAGAGTGCAGGTAAGACCGACATAATAATAAATAGATAAAAACGAAAAAAGATAACACATTTATGGTAGTCGAAGGTTAGGCATTATTTTTAATTTTTATACATAGAGAACGCCACGCGTAATATATTTGAAACAATTATTTGGTTAATTCGTTAAAAAAGTTTTTCTTTTTATTGCGCAATTTAATATTTTGGGAAGACTTTCACATAACTTCTCTTGTTCTCAGGGGATAGAAAAAAGGTAAGGAAAATAACTGGCAATTCGTGCTCACCAAGATAACAAAATACATCTCGAAGACTATTTCCAAAATAAAAACTTGATGGGGATGGTTTACACTAACTTTTCTGATGGGTGGTTTTCAACTACTTTTAGTATTTACGGGGATAAATTGGTCGTTAAGATTAGAATAAGTAAAAAAATAAATAAACGGCAATAACTCCAAAGCTAAAAAAATGGAATATGCAAGCAATATATAGTAATCTAAATTATTAATTATAGGATTATAAAAATAAGTGGTTTGCATTTGAGAAATAAAATATGTTCGCCAGTTTCGTCCATTTCATGTCAATTGTTATTTTTTTCAACATCCTGTATTATTAAAAATCGGAATTACTAGTTTGCAAATGAAAGTTTCTTAGTTGTTTTAAAATGATGTATCTAAAAAAAATAAATAATGGGGTAAACAATAATAGTCTATAAAACACTTTAAAAAGGTAGTTTCATATTTGCAACATTAAAAAAAGTATAAAAATGAGATCTTTTTAATAGCCTAACCCTGATTGTGTTAAAATGTTTAAAATTTTTAATGCTGCTTCATAATGGATTTTGATAACCTAAATATTTTTCTGCAATTGTGTCTATTGTATTGTATTGTATTGGAATAGCCTTTTGAAAATGGAAAAACGCTTATATTGCTTGCGAAATCTTCCACATGGTTGCCAATAGGCAAGCTTAAAGTCGCCATTTCTTAAGAACTAAATACGATAAAATTATAAAACCGCGATGTTATTTGCTGTAAAAATGAGTTCTAACAAATAAGCATGCTCAATAAGGTGGGAAAAAAAAAAGATTATTATTACTTTTTTGGATCTGGCACATAAAAAATAGTTTCCAGTTAAGAAGTACCACGTATGAGCTCTTATATTAATGGGATTTATTCTCATATATAAATATCACAAATAGATCATTAAGTCAATATATATATATATATATATATATATATATATATATATATATATATATATATATTCAAAGATATGACGGAAATCCGAAATCCAACTTTCGAACATATTTAGATTGCGTTCATCGATATATTCCATTTCACGTTTCCTCTGTAACAAGAGAAAGAAATGATTTTTTTTAGTTTTTATGTCAGTTTCAAATGATATAAAATTCGAAGTAGAACTCTTGCATTCCTCATGCATTTTCAAAATTGTGTAGTTATTTCTTTGGAGTCGTACGTTACCATTATAATGGTCCATTATGTCTGTTAAGAACAAAAGTTTTAAAAACCATTGTTTATTATTGGGTGCGACATCGTTTTCACAGATTTCGTGAAGAAAATATTTGCATGTCGTCAAAACACTCTATAAGTCTATTAATAATTTTGCCCCGACTTAGCCATGGTATTTTCGATTAAATTTCCTCCAAAAAAGCTTTAAAGTGCCTGTGTATTAATACTGATCTCGCTATTATCATGTTTACGATTTTAACAATTTTTTCCAATACATCCTTAAGTTGTTGTGTAGTTGGCTTTGTAAAAAAATGTTCTTCATGTATGTACAAAAAACGATTAGTTTTGCCATTAGTTTTACAAATCCAGCAGTTGTTGCTCTCATACTTGGAGCACCGGCAGTTGTTGTGGAAAAACATTTACTTTTTAAGTCCAATGCTTGCCCATTTTTGAAATTTGTAAACTCTTGTACTTGACGAAATATATCAGTGCCTTTCGTGGTGTCGTTCATTACAGCAAGAACGCATAGCTCTTCATTGACATTGAAGCTATTTATTTAAGTCGGTACTCTCGTTAACTGCAATGCTAATTATGTCACAAAATAACAAATCATTTTTGACCTGTTCAACAATATTCCTGGCCATATCTTCAACGCGACGCTGGACTGGCATTTCTTTGATTCTCTCAATTATTTGTTGTTTATTTGCGAAGTGATTAAAGCAGTGTCCGGTACAATTTATGAATACGTTTTTCGAAAACTCGCCGTCTGTAAATGGTTTTCCTTTGGTACCAATGCTAAGACCTGCAATAAAGCTGGCATACGTAGCGTGACTGCTACTGGTAACAAAACTCTTTGAGAATTTATTTTGTTTTCCAAAATTTATCTTTCAGATTTATCTTTATTTACCATTTCACTCGCATATTTATGTTTTGAAGAAAAGTGTCCCTCAATATTATAAGTCCTGGAGGCAATTTTATCTGTACATTTTCGATACACCCATACGTCGCGCGCGTCCAGTCAGGGGGGATGAGGCTTTAACCGATATTTATATATGTTATACTAGATTGAAACTCGTACGTTCACAATTTTGCGACAAAATTTTTTTAAGAAAAAGGAAAAATGTTTGTATATCTTATACTTTATTTTCGGAACTAAGGTGGGTCACTTGAAATTACCAAATGGGTCACTCAAATGTAACTCGAGAATAAATGAAAAAAATACAATCAAACAATTTAAGAAGCAAATGCTTTTTATAACGCAGACGTCTGAAGAGTGGGCAGATGGAATTTGATTTCAAACCCCGAATCGATTAATTCAAATTATTGTTTCTAAACACTGGTGGTGTCGCACACATCCGGTAGCCGCATGCGGCCATTGCCGAAAAGGCAATTCGTTATTCCAGAGCGCGGCAATCGACGCCGTTACGAAATATGACATCCATAAAACAGTTAAAAACGGCCATTCCACCTGCACGATGGAAATGAGTCCGTATATCTCGCCGGTATCCGGTCCAATTAGAACAGGAGTAAATATTAATAAAGAGGCGGCCAGAAAGAAAATCAAAAACATTCATCAGAATTAGCGCGTCCGCATATGGGGATTCAACCACGCAGGCCATTTTGCGGGAGAAATAGTGACGAGACCTCCGGCTTTTATTGCGGACCAAGCGAAGTTTTAATCTCTTTTCATTGCCGCGTTGGCCCTGTATGCGCTTTTTCGTGATATATAGGAGCGTATACTTATTTGAAACGCATGCACAGAAAAAATCCTGGCAGACTATCACAAAATTAAAAGAAAAAAATTTGCAAATTTGGGATCCATTTAACTTAACTTTGTTATAAATGTGTCCCTATGAAAAATTGCACACGTTTATTGGGTTATTCTAACATTTCAACTATTTCTCTTAAATATTAATGCGTATGTTCATCTTTTATTAATCATTTATAACAATTTGATTTCATCCGTCAATCTAACAAATGTTCGTATTCGTATGTAGATGGTCAATAGTGGTTAAAAAATTTACAGATTGGGCGCGCCAATTCTTTTAAGGAAGTTAATTAAAACATTTAGTGTCCTAGCGCCTCTAATCTTTCTGCTTTTTATATATATTCTGCCAGAATATCTTTTCCAAGGCTTAGTTTTCCAATATTGTGATGGCACAAAAATTGTTGTATGTGGTAAATATTTTCTAACTCTTCTCAATGACCTACGAATTATGTTCTCTGAATTAACTGAATGGTGCAAAAATAATATCATTAACAACTGTGGTAAGACAGTGTTGTCAACAGTCTACCACCCCTCTAAAGGAGTTCAAACATCTGTCTGACATTTTTACGTAATTAATTTTCGACTGTGTCAGAATTTCTGGTTGCCATTAAGTATAAATGATTTCCTGCAACAAATAAAATAAAAAATACAACATATAATATAAAAGTAAAAATACATTTGGTTTAGTGTCCTATGGGCAGTATTTTTTTTAGATTGTTTGTTTAAATGAAATTGTGAAAATGATTTACCTTTTTTGTCTTGCTTTTTATGACTTGTTCCTTTTTACTTCTTTGGTGGTGTTCAGACCTAAATAAATATATGTCTTTCTATTCGACTTCCGACAGGGGTCGAATTGTCTTGTGAGTTGATTATGCACATACGGAAAATTTTTGAAAGAAAAATAATCTCTACTGTTTCGGGACTTTGGTTGAAGGTTTTTAGGTATTTCTATATTATGTTGACAATATTTAAGTAATAGATTTTTTTTTAAATGTATATTTATTCCCAAACTTATTCACCAGATTAGTTTATGCCTAGTTTTACATTTTACCTTGAAAATGAATCATTTGTAGCACAGATCATTACTATTACACTTACACTTACTTACTCACACTTACAAAAAGCCCAAAATAAGTAGTAGTATTAGTAGACAAAGAAAAAGGTCCTTAACTTTTAGAAAAATCTCCTTTGAATACTTCCAAATGCGTTTTATATTGAGTTTTTCTGATGAAGCCGATTCAGAATAAACCCAAATCAAAATTCCGGAACCATTCCAAAACAAGTTGGCAAAAAATTATGTTATCAGACTCAACTCGCAATACTCGTCTTTCAGTTTATGGGGTTCAGGTGAGTACTTCTTGTTTTAAATATTTTCAACCGGAAGTTGTTGTCAACGTGTTTTTTTTTTTAATGGAACACCCCGTATATTAATATGTTTTTGTGTGACTTTCTAAAATTTTATATATTACGTCCTATACCTATGTCCCCGGAAGTGAAATTTCTTCTCAAGGAGCTTATTTTTGCAATTTCTGAAAATTAGATCCTGATATCTGACAAAATGTTAACAAAGAGAAAAGAGGTTTGAGTTTCAGAGACAAGAGATGTAAGTTGACATTTTTGTCATTGTTGTTACCTACTTTTATCAAGGGAGTCCAACATTAAACATTCACATTTTCAAAGTAGCTAAAATCGTTTTTTTTTTTAATTTGGACAACCCTATCAAACAGTACGTATCCCATTTCCCTTCACTTACTTGGTAATGGAAAAACAATTATTACTATTATTATCA